TATCAAAAAGGAAGGAAAATTAAACAGGCAGACAAATATAACAAGTATTCAAGCACATAGATCATCAAATACGTGCATAAACATTTAAGGGAAAACCTACTTCATTAATTGAAATGAAAAATTTCAAGAACAAAAAAGGAAATAACTAGGAATTAAAAGACTTTAAAAAGAAAGAAACACATAAGTAAGACAACTACTCATTATCATTAATATTGCCATCTTTGATTATGGATTTTCTTAATGTGTTCCTCTTGATGATAGCCACATCCTTCACCATGTTTTGAATACACATAGTGTTTTGTTGAGAGATTGACAAAATATTGTTGATGACTTTATTATTTGTTGCAGTTGGTTGGACTACATCTTCGATTTCATCCATGGAGTCATTCCTTAGCTCTCCTAGAAAGATATTAACCCTCATACTGCTGAGAAAGAAGTGTCTAATATTAGAGTATATTGGATCAACTAATTCCTCTATAGTGTTCACTTCAGCACTAGCTAAAATATTGGTGATCAAAGCTCCATATGGTAACCCTGCTGATTGAGACTGCTTACAAGAGATCACATGGATAAGCATTTAGATGACCAAATCTATTTGAAATTATTTGTTTAGCATTCATAAAGGTATCATAGGAACAACTTAACTTCTCTGATACCACTTGTTGGTGGAGGATATACGGGATCAAATGGTCCAAGGGGGTGAATATAAATTTCCTGTAAAACCATTTTAAAAAAACGTTTCCTTTTGCAAAATCAGAGTTTTTCAAACAATTACACATATTACCGGCTCTAAGGCCAATTGTGAGTTCATGAAAATGGAATACAAATGAAAGAAAAAGATAGTAGTTGTTTTAAAAGACATATGATTAAATGGATATTACATATAACTTGTATTATTAGAAATCAAAACAAATGAGAAATATGAATATACTTAAACACACAATTAAACAATTATCATAATTCAAATTTCACATACAACTCATAATGAATTTCGTTAATCGAATGACCAATCTAATAACAAGAATTCGTACAACAATAATCTCAAGAAATAATTGAATGATCAATCTAACAACAAGAGTTCTATCACAGACCTAAATTTTAATCACAAAATTGCTATAAGCCAATAAATCCAAGTAGCATGTTATTCTATGAAAGAGATACAAACCTAAACATGAAAATTATGCATAAAATCAGAGAGAGAGAGAGAGAGAGAGAGAGAGAGAGAGAGAGAGAGAGAGAGAGAGAGAGAGAGAGAGAGAGAGAGAGAGAGAGAGAGAGAGAGAGAGAGAGAGAGAGAGAGAGAGAGAGAGAGAGAGAGAGAGAGGAGTACATAGAATATATAGTGGTTCAACTCTATCATTATTGTAGGAGCTTAATCTACTCTTTAATGGTTTCCCATTCAAAATTATTTTCTTCCACTATAAAATAATATAGCAAAATTATTTACAAAAGCTACATAACTACTGGATACAAGATCATCTTGAAAATAGCTAGTCTTCTTATCTTGACCTTATCTTGTTGTATATGGTGTTTGCTTCTCCAATCTTTTAAGACCCACCCGAACTCCAATTAACTCTTTCACATACAAGCCCCTGTCAAGCCTTTGTTATGCGATAATGTTTACTTGATCCTACCAGTGCTTTGAGATTTGATTTTTTTTGAAGAACGCAGAAACTCCGACTTCATTTGTAGGCTCCCACACAGCCCTACCGAATTAAATTGCAAACGAGACTTATTATTTTTCTTACTGGATTTCCAAACTCAAGTAATACCATACAAACTGAATCTTGACATGTAGCTTAAGAACTTTACAAACATCAACAAAGAATGAAACTCCTCTATGATAGATCTCACTTTTTCTAAGAATTGAAAAGGGATTGATGTTAATCTTGCTAAAGGTTGAAGGTGAATTCAGATGCAAAAGATAGATGTGAAAAGGTTTTCTTTGAAAAACAGGTTTCCAATTTTTTAGAAATACTTTCAAAGATGTGATTATCATCACAATAATCACTGGAACTTGATTCCTTAAATTGGTGAGGGAGAGAGGAAAATAATCTATACATGTGCTTGAGATTATGCATAAAAATGAGTAAAAATGATGTTTGATTTAAGTCATAAACACATGTATGATTTGAGTCAAGTGGGGAAGTAATTTGGAACAAGAACTAAAAACATATAAGAAATACATTTTTGTGGTTTGACTCATGAAAACTGTGAGTCAAATTTAGGCAAAAGCATGATTTGAGTCATGAAATTTTTTATTCGAATCAAACAAGATAGTGACAAAATTCAACTCATGATTTGAGCCATGATTTGAATCAAGAAAATTGTGAGTCAAATCATGTGTACATTTTGATTCAAATCATGGGAGTATCAAAAATTCAAGAAAACCTTTGTTTTATTTGATTCGAGTCATAGGATGTGTGATTCAAATCACACACCTAAAATCTGAATTTTTTGCAACTTTAAAGTTGTTTTGAGATTCTTCTAATGTAATGATTTGAATAAATCTCAAATATGGTTCTTGATCTGAAAACTCGACTAATTGACTCAAAGCATATTTCTTACACTAAATAAAACATTTTGATATATGCATGCAAAAACATGATTTAATGCAAAACACTTATTTAAAAAGCATTGCACTCAATTCTAAGATATTTGGAAAGATCTAACTAGAAGAGACTTAGTTTTGGAAGTGATAAATGATAAACGATAATAAACGAGACAAGAAAAAAAACTAAAGCCCTAGAGGACAGAGAAAATTCAACCGCGCTAGATGTTCTTGCAGGGCTTCAATTTTCTAAGAAAGGTTTTTTCCATTACGATGGGTTGCAATACCTTGCGGTTGAACAATCTTTTTTTTTCTTAGATTTTTTAAGACGATCCTTCCATTAATGACTTTCATGAAGAAGAACTTCTAGTAGGGAGGCTTTTTGTTAGAGTTATATATGATGATACTAATGGTGCAGAGTGGAAGCTCGCATAATAACACATTGAGAAAGAATAAGAAGAGAGATACAAAAGAATAAATGATAGCATACTATTGTAAAGTGACGTTTCTGAGCTTATTTTCGAGAAAAAATACAAGAAGCTAATGGTGATTTTCTCCAGAAAGAGATGATTAATTTTTTTCTCAATACAAGTCCTTTAATTGATTACGTCTAAGTCATAATCAATTATATCTTCAGTATGTTTGAGATTTGGCGCAATATTTGATTAAAAGCTTATTTAATTTATTGCTGGAAAAGATTTGATGTGATATCGCTTGAAAATTTAAGAAGGAAGTAATCTATAATAGATTATACCTTTGAACTAATCGATTATTGGGAGGTTTTTAGCTTTCATTGATTCCTTTTGATCTCTGACTGACATTGGGTCTTGGCATTCTGCTTTTAAAACATTCTTTCTTTCAGATTCTACCTCTTTCCTCAGAAAACCTTTTAAACTAAACTGAAAGGCAAGTAAACAATAATTTTAACTGACTAGACATTTAATAAACCAATTTCTAGAGGATCAATAAGCGTTTTTCGAGTTTTCAAACTCTATTAAGTGTACTATGTCAAAATCTCAAAAAAAACTTGAGAGAACTTCCCCCAAGGAGGGAGTGACGAACAATCATTAAAAGTTCATTTCCAAATATCTTTTGATATAGGAATATTCTAAAAAAAACATTTAGAGCAATACGACCACCATCAATCCTTAGAACCTGAAATCTAAATGACCTAGAGATTGTTGTGCACCACAATTAGTGCCAACGAAAAACTAGATTGAAAACAATTTGTTGAACAACACCATTGATTCCAATGAACATACTTCTGAGCATAACCATTAGTGCTAACAACAACACAATTGAGTACCACCATCGATGATTTAATAAACAACTTGTTAAACATCACCAGCAATGCCAACGAACACACTGTTTAACATTACCGGCACTACTATCGAAGCAACATCATCAAGATCACCTTTTGCATATCAAATTTAGCCAATAAGCATATTCAAAGCTACAAATCCATCTCTGCAACATAGAATTAGTCATTCACCTTTGGTACCTAAATTTTTTTAGTTCTGGTGCATTGGTGGCTCTAAGAAGTCTAGAGTTATTCCCTTTAGACCATATTAGTTTATCATACCAAAAAGTCTCTAAATGGCCACGCTTCTTATAAAAACAACATTTATAAATTAAAAGATTAAATTTCTTCCCATTTTTAGTTATCTTTTCATGTGATAGATCATACTATCCAATTTTCCACCACATACCATACCACGCGGTGAAATATAGTATACTTACTATCACATTCTTCGTTATCACTAACCACAATCTGTGATTGAATCATTCCCAACCATTATGATAAATACATTTTAAAAAGTAGTTCTCCTCCACCAAAACACAAACTCTATCAACTTCACACCCTGATGGTGGAAAATAGGTTACAACCTATTGAATCAAATTCTAAGATGAATAAACCTCACCCACGAGTCATCCATAAAAGAAATAAGCATGTCTAACCCCACCTTCTGCTTCATGCTATCTACAAACCAATCCAACAAAGCATCTATTTTAGTGTCTAAAAGGATAATCTCTCTCCACTAAGTAGAACAAGACAAAAGATTAGAACTCCTTCCATTAAATTTCATTAATCTAACCTTTGAATACTTTTATCTTACTCTAATGATCATGCATACAACTTATCTTACTCTAATGATCATGTTTACAAATTTAATAATCAAGTAATAAGGAGGACACGTGGTTACTTGTAATTGAACCAAAATAATAGTAATAACAAAAGAAAGTCATAAAATAACAAATCACTAGCATTATATATATTATAATCACTCTTACAAAGTTACAAATCTGATCTCAAACCTTCAACACTGAACTCATTACACTATTAAACCTGAACTACCTCAAACAAGTGCTACATTTTTCTCCTTCTATTAAAAGAGACATTAATCAAACAAGTACTAATAAATTTTAACTGAAAATGTGAATTTAAACTTCATTGGTTAAGTAGGCTCCTAATGATAGAAGCTTCAGGACTATCAGCATCGATTGTGGACAACAACTGAGACAATCTGAGGCTTAAATCATCAACTTCTCTTTGTAAGTTTCTGATATAGTTGCAGGTTTCTTGTAGGACCGTAGAAGCTGGTACCTGCATGCATCCACTATGTCAGTTTCGGTTACCTATAAATTCCGTACTTAATTTACATCAATCAAATTCATTAAATATGTGGTAGCTATTTACACTTCAATGTAGAGAAAAAAAACATCACACATGCTCACCTAAATATATGTTTTTTAGATTTCAAAAATCATGCTATCCCTAGCTAGTACTAGTAGTGTGTACTTATAATAATGCTTAGCATGAAACTTAATAGGTTAATAATCAAAGTTTGTGAAATTGTTACAATCTCTCATTTATTAATATTTTTTTTGTTAATATGAACCTTAATAATAAACTTAATTGATTATTTTACGTTTAAGAAAAAAATATAAATAAAAGAAATATAATAATATTTTTATCATATTGACTTTATCAAATATTATTGTATTTATATATTTTTATTATAAATTTAAAACAAATATATATTATATTGTGAATGGAACTTGTAATATTAATTAGATAGTGTTATAAAAAAATAAATATTATCTTAGAAATTAAAAATATAAATTATATTTATATAATTTTCTATTACAACAGAGGGAATATTTAATATGACATTTGGCAAAATTTAGGGACATCTATATACACATTTGTCATGTTCTCTAATAAATAAAAAATAATATATATGTCACTAACCATTTTATAAAATCTGAAGAAAAAATATATATTTTAATTATAAAATGAAGTGTCTATTTTTTTTATGAATATGAGTAGAAGAGTACTCAAAAATGTCTTTTTAGAAGAGGAACAACTAGTACAGTACTTATAGTACTGCATTTAAGTTTTTTTTCTTCTTTTTTTCAATATGAACAACTTCAAAATTTTGAATAAGTTGAAGAAGGGAGTGTGTTTTGAAATAGCTATAGTACCTTGTCAGAACGCCTACTACGAATCTCAGGAACAAGTTGACGCAACTTGCAAACAAGTTCGATAATTTGGTCATCAGAGATTCTTGTAGACCCTCCTGATTGTTGTCTTGACCTTCGACTAGACATGGCTTGGTGTTAAGAAAAATGTTGAAATGAAGGTAAATATTGAATTCTACTAAGTGTTTTAAGTTCTTTCCTAAAATAGAAAGCTATAAAATATAAAATGATGCTAGTTATATAGAGAATCAAGGAACAAACAAGCTATATATATATATATATAGTGGAAGAAGGTGAAGAGTTTATATAGAAGTAGGAAAATATGATATATGGTGTGCAAAAATGGAGATAGTGGTGAGAGAGATATAAGGAAGAAAAACATGGACCACAGGGGAGAGATAGGTAGAGACATAGACATGGTACAATAAGGTAGACAACAATGTTGGAGGAAGAACATACTTGGCCAGTTGCTTTGCAAAAGGAGTGGACTAGGCTTTCCCTAGCTATGGATTTCAGAGAGGAGAAATTATGAATGATTTAATACACCATGTATACATGAAAATATTTAAATGGGTCTAGCTTTTAGAGATGGACGCACTCAATTTTGAATCAATGTTAAAATATTATGGAGATATATTTTTAATTTTATTCTGAAGATATTTTTAATATGTATTGGAGCTTAAATTGCGCTAGAGTCCTTCTTTTTTCTCATTTTTGAAGAATAAAAAAACTCAAAGCCACTTTAAACTTTCTCAATTTTTTCTATCATCAAGTTCAAAATCAAACAACCAATTAAGGATCTTCAATCAACATCAGAAACATAATCCAACACTTAAGAAAAGTGAAAAATTGTAAGTTTTTGATATTTTGATTAAGATTTTTGAATTTTTATGAAAATGAGTAAAAAATAATGATTTAGGTAATAAATAAGTAAAAAATGCAAGAATGTTAGTTTATATATATATATATATATATATATATATATATATATATATATATATATATATATATATATATATATATATATATATATATATATATATATATATATATATATATATATATATATATATATATATATATATATATATATATATATATATATATATATATATATATATATATATATATATATATATATATATATATATATATATATATATATATATATATATATATATATATATATATATATATTAAAACATGTATGTTTGTAGAAAATCACGATCAAATCGTTTATTTTGAGTTTTGCATTTTTGCATTGCCTCCATTGATGAACTGAAGAGTTACAAAAAATCACGGAGATGCTTCTCCGAAAATTTTCAACCTTTGGTTTCATATTACCTGGAGATGCATCTCCGTAAATTAGCAGTCTGTTTTATTTTTTGCTTTTTTTGTTTGTATGTTGCATGCTTACACTAATTGTCTGGTTTACTTTAAGTTACAAACATTAATGATGATACACACGATAGCCTGAGACACGGGAGAATCGCACAATATGCATCAGTGTGGCGGGAGAAGAGTCAGGTTTATGAGGCTCTTGTTCAGTCTGGCTATATATGCAGAGACGTCTACTTCTAGGGTTCATACTTCTCCACCTTCTTCTTCCCGTAGCAAATGAGTTTCACCTACCGACACATCACACCCTCTATCCTCTCGCAGGCGCCATGTTTCATTTATTTCGGTGCCAAAGGTACCCGAGTCACTAGTGGTGTCGGAGGCACCAGTGCCGCCTCTGACAAATGGTGCTTCTGAGCCAGTGTCACCTCTTATTGTTGATGTTGTTGAGCGAGTGTCACCTCCGAATGGTAAGGCTACTGAGAATGTTGAACTAGAGCCATTTGGAGGAGGTCGTATAGAGTTGTCACTAATGTCTTTGTACCATACCAGACTGTCAGACATATTTGGGATGGAGAGGTAACATTAGTTGGATTTATTCTTTTAATTTACGTTTATTTTAATTTATAAGTTTCTGACATTGATTTATTTTTTTGCAGAAATGTGATATGCCGAAGATTATTAACCACAGACGAAAGATTACAAGCTTGCCTCAAACGAATGAAGAGCGGTCTCATACAGTTTTGTCCCTATCATGGATAAAGGACTTGTGCATGACCGGTTATATTACGATCAACCAAGGGATGCTTAATACATTTGTGGACAAATGGCACACTGAGGCATCGTCATTTTATCTCCTGCTTGGTGAGATGTCTATCACACTCGACAATGTGTCGTGTTTGTTATATCTTCTGATTAGAGTAAAACATCTAGATCATGGGAGAATTAGCACAGATGAGGCACTCGAGATGTTGGTAGACTATTTGAGAGTTAACCCATCGTATGCAATGGCGGTGATGGATAGAACCATGACGCTCTTGCTAAGTTTGAATTCCTCAAAAAGGTATGTGTGTGTGTGTGTGTGTGTGTGTGTGTGTGCGTGTGTGTATAGACACATACACATACACACACATATAGGTGTGCTTCAGAGAGTTAAGCAGACTAGAGGCGATTACAAGCAGGTGGGGCTCCATAGAGTGTATGCTATGAAAGCATACATGCTATATTTGGTAGGCACTATGAGATTTTTGGAAAAGACTTCCAATTTTAAAAAGTTCGTCTACCTACAATACTTCGAGGATTTTGAGCGGATCCATGAGTACAAATGAAGGGCTGCTTATTTGGTCTACTTGTACTCAAAGTTATCATAAGGTTGTAATTGTAAGATGAAGCAGATCACAGGAAGCATCACACTACTGACAGTAATATTTATTGGTACTTTATTGTTTATGTGTCATTTTCATTGCATCTTTGCGACACCATTACTAATGATGCTTCTGTTCCAACCTTTTTCAGGCTTGGATCCTCCGACAATTCCTGTGCATCTCTCGTTGGGCAGGTGAATCGACTTACACCGAGGATATGCCGCGTGCTACTACATTTGCCTCGTTTAGAGGAAACAGGCGACAGAGCCGTTTATAGTGTATCTTAACTGCTTAGTTGTCAAGACATGCACTTCAACAACTATGTGAATTTTTGTGAGATGCGTACATTTGACGAGATAGTGCTATACTATGGATGGTTGGCCTGTGGATCTCGTATCACTGCTCCTTATCTGCTTGAACGCATGATGCAGTAGTTTGGATACACTCTGACCATTACCAGACACCCTGTTGTCTCTGCTCCTCCTGCTTTGACACATAGACATATGGATGCCATGTTTGATGATTATGAGAATCATCTGGTACTGGAGGAGGCACACATTACCATAGTTGAGAGCGATTAGAGCAATGTCGATGTATATATTAAGTGGTTCTTCAGGGTCTCACATTTGTATATGGTATCGGCTGTTCTAATAGATCCACCAAGGCCATCTCATCAGGAGATACTATGGGAGAAGCATACATAGTTAGATCATGCTAATGATGTCTTACCTAGATATCGACGCATAGTGGATATTGTGCAGGTAGGCATTGACAAAGGTATCTTCTCTGATGGGTCTAATGTGAGGAAGGTTCTAGATGCCGTCATAACAGAGGCACGGGGGGCATTGATGTACCAGAGATAGCGTCGGAGGACAAGGGTAGTGAAGGACGAGGAACCCGAAAAGCCAGAGGAGAAAGAGGAGATGTAGTCCAACATACATAGTAGTACAGTAGTACATAATAGTTGTACTTTGGATTCATTATGCATTGTATATTATTTTCAATTCATGCTACTTTATTGTGTACTTCGACTTTATTTATATGTCATTTTTGGACCATCTTGATTTATAAACGTCATTTTTTGCATATTGATTGTACGGTTTAAATCTTGTCACGTTACATGGTACATAACGTTTATAAATTCTCATCTAAATAAATATAAAAAATATATAGCATGCAATGTTCTGACATGTTACGAAGATACATCTCCGTAAAATTAACGGGGATGCATCTCCAGAATAATAAACGCGTAAAATTCCTTCAGGGTCAATGCATGGTGTATAACTTTCAAAATATTACAGAGATGCATATCCGAATCAATTAACGTTTCAAGGTGCATTCAGAGATGCATCTCAGAAATTTGGGGACATTTAAGTATTTTCACGTGTTGTACTAGTAAAATATAGGGTGCATTAAGAAATTCCCAGAAATTACTCACTAAACTCTCAAATCAATCAATATATAAAAAGTTTTGTTTTTTAAATCAGATATTATTTATGCACGTAATTGTATAAATTAATTCCTTGAATTGAAGATGATCACAATATACAAAAGTTTACCCTTGAAATTATTTTACACTGATTCCTAGATATATCTATTGTAAATTATTAACAATTAATATTCTTGAGTGTGTTCAAAATGACAAGAAATTATGCAAGTGATGGTTAAATTTTTAGTTCAGAAATAGGCAATATTTGTGAAGTGTTGCAGTAGGAAGTTTGTATTTTTAATTTTGAAATAGGCAATACTTTGTGAAGTGTTGCAGAATGTGAAACAGTATAGCCTTTAAAAACTGCCGTTGTAGGAAAAATAGTACAATATTTGGTAAAAGTGTTGTTGTAGGCGAACCAATGCAACATTTGATAAAAAGGTTGTTGTATGCGAAACAATGCCACATTTTGTAAAATTGTTGCTAAAAGTGTGTGTTTAATCAAGTGTCGCAATCTTGTGAAACAACATTATTTTGGCCTATAAATTGAATATTCTGAATTCAAGAAATAATAACAAAAAAAGTCTATACTCTTCACACAAAATTTCAGATTTCATCTTTCCTACATTTGAGTTTTCATTGGTCTTGTGCAATCTCGAGTATAGACTGGATTATCCTATGTATTCTTGCGTTTCAACTCTAAGACATTTGAGAGTACTTGAAATAGTTATAAGAAAAGTGATTTCATTCACAATTATAGCCTCAATCCATTCGATTTAAATTAATTTTCTAACAATCTTATAAGTAGTTCATATAATGGAAACTGAGACTTATGTTTCAAGCATCAAAGTGATAAACCAAGACAAGATCTTCTTCCTCCTAATAGTCATGAAGATATTTTATTTGTGATTAATATTAAAGGGTGCTACTTTAATATTTTTTTTATGGCAATTCTCTATGATGTTGAAAGATACACAATTAATTTATACAATATTTTA